AGGGTTTTAAGCCTTAAGCCATAAAGGCCCGTCTACAATACACGGAGTAAGAAGTAAGAGTAAGAAATTGATCACAGTCGATCACAGTCGATTATTCTTCTCACATTCGACTGTGATTGGTCAATTTCTTACTCTTACTTCTTACTCCGTGTATTGTAGACGACGCCTAAGATATGGGCGAATCGCAGTCGCTTATTCTTCTCGGATTCGACTGTAATTGGTAAATTTCTTATGACTTAAGGCTTAAAACACCTATTGTAGATCCGGGGTAAAGTGACTAGACAGAAACTGATGTTCAAGTGAAATGATATGATTGGTCGGCGCAAGTTACGCTTAGCCCGGATCCTCATACGGGCAACAGCGCTTTGACACCGAACGCTGGTTGGTGAAAAATGGGTAATGGGGGTAAATTTTACCCCTACAACCGGCTTTTCACCAATAAGCGTTCGGTGTCAAAGCGCTGTTGCCCGTATGAGGATCCGGGCTTACGCAAGTTACGCCGCATGTGACGGCACCCTGAATCCAGCATAACAATCCAGCAGGAAAATAAATTGTGTGCCGCATGCTAGATTCACCCTGCATCCGATTTGCGTCGTACGACGCTCCGCAACCAATCAGAAAACAGGATTCCGATGATACGAAGCAAAATCCATTGAAATCCTGTTTTCCGATTGGTTGCAGAGCGGCGTACGACGCAAATCGGATGCAGGGTGAATCCAGCAGCAGGCTTATATGGAATGGACGAAAAATGCCGGACCAATCACAAACAAGGGAGAAGGTTTTTCAGAATCTGATTAGAGAGCTCTCTACTGAGACGACGAAGAGCTATACTAGCCGAGAGACTAGAGAAATCATGGTGGAAATATATAAGGTGAAGCAATCTGATAGATGCGCAGTAGGAAAGTGCATATTCGGACAAATTTGATTGGCTATTCCAGTATAACCTGCGCTATTATAGGTAGGAAGTGCATATTCGGACATATTTGATTGGCTATTTCCAGTATTGCTACCGCTATTATGCGTATTGTTTCACCTTATATATTTCCACACCATGGAGAGAAACGACTTGAACGAGAAGAGTAGTGAATGGTAGTGAAAAATAGGATTGTGTCGAAGTTGCTCTTTGGCTTTTGTAAGCTGATTGCCTGATACGGGTTATTGTTCGTGTATAGTAGTTAAAAATTCTGAGAAGGCGAAAAAAAAAACACGCATTACGTCAGAGTTGCAAAATGTTTCGCAGTTCGACGAATTTTGATAAATTATTAGGTAAGCTTCTTTGAAATTGTTCAAAATGTCGGAGCTTTCTTAGCCACTCATTAATCTACTCGTAGATAAGGCAACGAGTCATTTGCAGTTAGAACCAGCCTGGCCTACAATTATGCAGATTTGTGATCTTATACGTCAGAGCGATGTTCAGTAAGCATAATTTTTGTAAAAAGTTTATTTTACTTAATTATTAAGATTTTTATTGAGCATATAGCATATATCTGTCAATTGTATTCCTTTAAAGCAACCTTAAAAAAAAATCCATGCTAAATATATTATTGCTATCTGTTTCTAAATATTTTATACATTTAGACCAAAAGCTGCACTCACTGCTATAAAGAAGAAGATGGTAAACAGTAATCCGCATGTAGCATTATATGCCTTACTGGTAAGAAATTGGTTTGTTCCTGCATTAGAAGTCTCTTTCTTTCTTTTGACAAATATTAAACATACTTATTTCACTTTTAAGTTCAAAAAGAGAGAGTGTACACTAGTTCAGCCACAGAAAATAAATCTAATATAGCATAATTTAAAAAAAGATTGTATTTATTGTTTGTGTGTGTGTATGTGTGTTGTTTTATTGATGTTTATTAATGTATTCAGGTACTGGAATCTTGCGTAAAAAATTGTGGGACATTGATTCATGATGAGATAGCTACCAAACAATACATGGAACAACTAAAAGAACTAGTTAAAACTTCTCCACACGAAAATGTTAGACTAAAAACTTTAGAGCTAATACAAGCTTGGGCTCACGCATTTCGTCATAGTCCCAAATATAGGACAGTTCAAGTGATAAATTATTATGTGTTATAATTATCAGCATATAATTTTATTTATTTATTTCATCTTTTTGTTATTTTTCTCAGGATACATTAAATATAATGAAAGCCGAAGGTTATCAATTTCCTGCTTTGAAAGAAAGCGACGCTATGTTTAGAGCAGATACTGCACCTGCATGGGCAGATGGTGAAGTCTGCCATCGGTGTCGTGTAACTTTCAGCATGGTTCAAAGGAAGCATCACTGCAGAGCATGTGGCCAAGTCTTTTGTGGCCAGTGTTCGAGTAAAGTCTCCACTTTGCCAAAATTTGGAATTGAGAAAGAAGTACGAGTTTGTGAGGCTTGTTACGAACAAGTTAACAAGTCAGTGAAATTTCTTATTCTATTTATCATAACTTATATATTGTTTGGATAGTTTTTAAACGTTACAGTTTTATAGACCATCTACAACGCAAACCAAAGATACCGACCTTCCAGTAGAATATCTCAAAAGTACTTTGGCTCAACAGCAACAAGTAAGTACTTTTATTTTACTGAATTGTAAATATATTGCAATAACAATAACATTATATATAAATTTTATTACACTTAATATAACATTATGTGTAAATATAAAACACTAATTAGCTTTACTTAAATATAATCTACAATCAAATTGATCATCAATTTTTTAGATTAAATTTAGAAATTTATAAAAGCTTATAAAAAAAAGTTTAATTATTAATAAGAACATCTCTCTGAAGAAGATTATATACAGTGTTATATACAGACTATTCCACTTAACTCGAATATCTGAAATATCTTTAACTGAAATATCTTTGTTATTCTAAATAAAATCCTATAAGAAAAATCCAGTAAAAGATTTAATCGCCTTTGAAATCTCATTCATGCCCTATATACAGGGTATCCCAAAATAATCGCCAAATATTTTATGGGCAGGTAGAGCGGACTAAACAGAGTCGAAAAGTCCTCTACCATTTTGCAATTTCTGCAATAATTAATAAGATATTAATTACTAAAAATTGTCGATAATGGTAGAGGACTTTTCGACTCTGTTTAGTCCACTCTACCTGGCGATGAAATATTTGACGGTTATTTTGGGACATCCTGTATAATGAAAAAGTATTGTCATTACATTATATATATTTCTCAAAACCATAAAATCGTATAGTTTCAAAAGAAATAAATATTTTTCTATCATTTAAAATAGTAAAATGTATTTAAGATATTACAATTGAATGAAACACACGTGCGTGCGCCAAAACTCACACATGGACGTACATGCTTTGTATAACGATCAATTTTAAGATTTCATTTATAATTAAATTTGTAATTAAACATGCTTCTCCGTTGTCTTGCATACAGGTACTTTTGTCCATTATTTTAAATAATTATGTGTACGAAGATTATATTATGCTATTATGAAAAATTAAATTTACGGGAAGGAAGCTATTCTCGAAAATTTGAATTTAAATTCTGACGTGGTTTTTGAATGTTGCATATTATGGCTGCGTTTTACTTAACACTTGCAACGCTCGCGTTTGTCTTTGTTTAACATTTGATAAACAATAAGGATGAAATGAATGATGAATTCTACGAGCGTTGTGAACGTTAAGTGGAACGCAGCTTGTATAGTAATTTATTTTACACACGGGCGCGTGCACAATATGTATACTTATGTTTTTATTTATGTTTTTATAGGTTCCAGTTCGAAAAACAGAAGAAGAACTACGAGAAGAGGAAGAATTAAATTTAGCAATAGCCTTAAGTCAGAGTGAAGCTGAAGAAAAAGAAAAAGAAAAGAAACGTGCTACAAGTGTTTTAAAATCCAATTCAACCTCAATATCTAGAACAACATATTCTCCACCATCATCACCTGTAAGTGTTTTGTTGCGAATCTTACATAAAATGGTTATAAACAATAAGAATATATTGGGCTGTACATGCAAAAACAATCAATAGGGAATAAAGACTGTAACGATCGAAGCCGGATCTTAAATAATTAATGCTTAAATAATTCCATGTGAATTTATATATACTACCCAGAATGTCCCATAACTCTTAATTAATATTTCTGAGAGTGAAAGAGGATGAAATTTCAAACCAAAAGTCCCCCCCCCCCCC